AGTCCATACATATAGGTATAGGGTGAGCAGTAAATTAGTTTACAACATAATGAAGCTGTTGAACAGATTCAAGGACCAAACAGGAACAACAAGCTTAGTTTATATGGTTACCATTTACATGGGTTTAATTCCAGGGGAAAACATAGTGAAGGAAATAAATGTATCAAAATTGGAAATTGATGGGCAGATGTACCCTTCTTAATTGTGGAAGGCTGAGAGTAATTAGCTGAGTCTCATAACTATATGTGTAGACTGGTAACTTCTATTTCATTGTCTCTGAAGAAGTGTGCATGCACACAAAAGCTTATACCTTGAATAAAACATTGTTGGTCTTAAAGGTGCCACTGGACTCAAACTTTGATCTGCTGCTTCAAATCAACACAGCTACCCACCTGAAACAAATTTCTGGGCACTCCGATATATACAGAGGAAAGCGCTAAATGTTGCCAAGATCTCGTGCAAACAGGATTTTGTGAACAAAGTTTGAGTCCAGTGGCACCTTTAAGACCAACAAAGTTTAATTCAAGGCATAAGCTTTTGTGTGCAAGCACACTTCTTCAAATTTTGTGAAGTCCGTTAACATTTCCACTTGCTCATCACTGGGTCTAAGCCATAGACTCAACTCAGCCACTAACTGTATGGCACTTAATAAGAGGAGCATTATTCTTTCTTGAGAACTAATTATCTTGGGCACAATCACAAAGAGGAGCTCACAGTCTGAGTCAGAACTTGATTTGCCTAAGCTGCTGATGACTACCACCAAGTTTCCAAAATTGGCCTGATAAGAAATCAGATCAAGATAATCCCATGTCAGGCTGTAAGTCTGGAAAATGGATTACACGAAACTTCTGACCTGGTCAGTGGTGACCAAATTGGTAAGGAAGTCAGTTTCCTTTTTATAGATCTACTAGCAGGAATTGAGGGGGGAGGGCCCCTTATATAGCAAGTACATGTTTACACTTTATCAAAATCCTTACTTCAGAAGCTTCAAATGGGAGCTTTTATATTAGTTTTATCCCTTTGAGAAAATTTATTTTGGGAAATCAACCTTTTATTTTTTGATGAACTTTACCTCCTGTGAAGTTTGGAATTTTTTTTGAGGTTCAAAGTCAAAGAAGCATTTTTGAAAAATTCCTCTGAATTCTACTTAAAGGATAAATTTACTTCCTGGTCTTCAGGAAGATGGCTGGGATTGGTTTAGGATGGTGCTGCATGATATCAACAGCTGTATAGGCTTGGCTTGAGACATAGTTTTAGGGGAGATCAGAGTGGAATGCTGAAGATAGAACTCCCTGTGGTGTGTGGTTTTCTCTCAAAAACTGTTTGGCAGGTTTTTGAAGCACTTAACCTATGAAACCTGTTTATAAAAAACTAGACGAATGAATGTGAATGCGTTGAGCAGTGATGGCATGATGTATCGTCGTAATCTTTAGTTCTATGAAAATCAGTATCAACAGATGAGAGTGGGCACTGTGGCAAGGGTGCTAAGGGTGCTGGGTTAGATGAAATACAAGAATTGCCAAAAATTAAGGAGTTAAATAATTTAATTCCTTCCAAACAGTTCAGCAGACTGCATTATACATAGCTCAGTTCTCCAGGCACTCCAATATATTTTCTCTACCCTTGCATGCAACTTCACACTGGCATAAATTAACCAGGAACCCTGGTTGTCCAAATTCCCAAAACAGGACAAAGTCAATGTTATAGATAATTCAAAATCTATTTGACTGTAAGCGGATCAAAGTAAAGAAAGTTAACATATTCTAGGCCACTTCCAAGCATCTCTCTTATTCTCTATCCTTACTTCAAAGCTTTATACTCACTGTTGCAGCATTGAAATAACACGTGGAACATTTCTAGATGGGTGCCATCGGGACTTGAGATACTGGTTTCTACTCAAAGTGGAAAATCATGGAAGGAATTCCCCACAATTTAATTTTTTGCTAATTACAGAGAGAATAGTGGCAACTGTTCAAACTGTGAAGTTTCAGAATTCACACTTCTATGGGATCAGTGAACATATTAATTTACCTATCAGATACCAGCTCCATGTCCTTACAGTTAAGAAAACAATGAAAGTGTGGTACATAAAACTGAGTACTGAAGAGAAACCTGGATTTTACTATGAAAGGCCACAGGAAAAAAAATTAAAGCAATTATTGCAATTTCCTGTTTAGGAGATGTCTGAAATGATAATATATTCACGTTTAAATTGGAAATGTTTTTCCTTCAGGAGGCTTACTGCACACTGCTGCAAATAAATTATCATTGCATTTGGTCCTTCTCCTTACGCTAGTACTTTGCTCTTCTAGTGTTTCCACATTGGCACCGAACTGTAGGTTACATTGTGCAAAGGCTGAATGCTGGTGCATAACTGACCCATAAGATCTATATCACATTGCAAACAGGCCTTGCAGCAAGCTGTGGCATTCAAACAGCTGACTCAAATGATCACTGGTGTGATAACTCCAGAGCCTGCAAGAGGCCACACCACTCCATGCTAACTCTATACAATATCCAAAGAAACTGCTGCTTCTGCCATGTCAGAGATGTGTGCATGAAAGGTGCAGGCACAACACTAGTGTTTTCCATGTAGTCTTATATAATCACATGTAAACAGAACACCCCCCCCCATCTGTCTTGATATTATAGGCCTTGTTCTCACAAACAGCAGATTACCCTGAGCCTTCGAGGTAGGGCGGGATATAAATTCAAAGATAAATAAAAATAAATAAAAGTGGTAAACCTGTGTCAGGCTGTACTATATTAGACTGCAGCTGGGGGCTCATATGATTGATGGCTCCTCCCTGCAAAAGCAAAACCCGAATTTTTGTACACAGAAAACTAGATGCAAGTTTTCTAGCTTAGCAGTATATCCTATGTGCTACTTTTATTTGTGCAGGAGTTTGGAGGGATGTAACATCGCATCTTGTGCATTCACATTTGCAGACTGAGGTAGTGTAGTCCAGTTATAAGTTCTATAACCTCATCTACTGTTTATGAGAATTAGGTCATAGTACTTCAATGTATCCCGGGCTGCTCAAATAAATGAGTTCTCCTGTATTTGAAGGGCTTTGGTAACAACAATAATATATATGAGGCTATATACTAATGATCAACATTTACAAAATATTTAGGCTCAGCAAATGTGAAAGATCACCATAATTCTTCACATTTATCTGTAACTCTATGTAAATATCACAAGACTATATTGAGGACTCACAAATATAGACCTTTGCCCTATAAAATTCTTATCATTGCCTCTCATTCAAGACACTGACTCAATTCAGATGTGACATTCTGATATTCTAAACAAGATGGGAATGTACAACAGATTCTCTGAACATGACATTTGAATGTAACAATCTATAGTTAGCATTTGCTTTGAAACCATGATCTGAAATCAGTATCTAAAGTGGGTTTGCAAACCATGGTTTGGAGGCAAACTCGATGAACATCAACTATAGTTTGCTCAATTTTGATATCATGGCAAGCTTCCAATACAGAAAAGTATGGGAGAGGGATCAGCGCTTGAGAAGGGTGGAGGGGGTGTGTGAGCATATGGCACATTCTTGATCCTCCAACTGTAATCTGAAGGACCAGTTGCACTGGATCTTCTGCAAAGTGAATGGCTCCAATTCAATCTATTATGAGGAGATAGCTACCAAAGACAATGAATGAGCGGACAAAAGGGTGGGGGGAACACCTCAGAAATTTGCATGTGTAATTGCATTTAACATCAATGTCCTGTACTATATCTACCCAGGCCCTGCAGATTAATTAAGGCTGCGGTCACACGGGCAGGAAACTGCGGGGGGGGGGG